GGCATCCTTTCGTGAGAGAGAGAGAGAGAGAGAGAGAGAGAGAGAGAGAGAGAGAGAGAGAGAGAGAGAGAGAGACTCATGATCTGTTCGTCAACAGTTATGACTGTGTACCATTTAGCCACATGAGCTCGTCCTCCATACTCTGCCTGTACTCTTGGGTGCACGATCTCTCCCCCTCTCTTTCGCCCTCTCCCTCCCTTTCTCCCTCTCCGTTTCTCCCTCTCCGTTTCTCCCTCTCTCCTCTACGGCAACATGCCCCTTCTATATCAGGATCCTCCTTCTATAGCATGATTCTCCTTCTGTATAGCAGGATCGCCCTTCCAGATAGCAGGATTCTGCTTCTATAAGAGGCAATGAATGCTTCTATAAGAGTTTTTTATTTTTATTTTTTTTATTTTTTATAAGGAACCATCCAAATCGGCGGTTAGGCGTGGTGGTAAGAGCACTCACCCCTAACAACCCTGCTGATGACTCCATTCTACTGGTGGGAAGCTGCACCTGCTGGAAAACAGGTCCAGGGTCCCTGATAACATCAGATGAATATGAACATTATAGTGAGCTTGGGGCAGGTAGACCGACAGATATGCAATGATTCCTAGCGGACCCAGACCCTTCAGGAAATAAAAACTTATGTACCCAAATAATGAAACCCTCCTCCTTCCTCTTAAGACAGAGAGGATGGGGGCAAAGGATCAGAAAATTCTGCAGGGGCTCTCATATAGATGCCTTGCTGCACTTCAAACCAATTATGAAAGATAAGATGACAATCCTTCTTGAACGGGGCATCTCTTCCTTCCGCAGCTGGCCAGACCACATGTCCAATCCCTCCCCCCAAATCCCCCAGCCAGTCCTTGGAGGATTTATGGGTAGCTTGTTTTTACATCTTGCTTCAGGGTGTTGTCCCTGCAAAGCAAAATGTATCAGTCTAGAGCGGGGACTTGTTTGTTTGTTTGTTTGTTGTTGCCCCCAGTTTTACCAAAAAAATCACTGTCATAACACAGAAGGAGGCGTTACAGTATGTGGCTTGCTTCGTTGACAGTTCCCCTTAACCTTCAGTTTAAGTTAGACTTGTAAATGTTTACGATCCGGAGTTCTTCCTGTCTCTCTCTCAAGGATTTGTCCGCCTGGCTCAGCGGCGCCTCTTCAACCAGGATCTTCCATTTCCTTGGAGGATCGCTGCTCCCCTTCGGTCTTACTTCTCTGAGTGCAACTAGATTTATTTTTTGCTCCCCCTCCCCCCCCCAGTCTTTTCCTGAATTCAGAGATGATTCTGTAATTTCTGTTTTGACAACGTTGGTCTGGAGTAGGATTATATCGGGCTTTCCCTATTAGGAAAAGCAGTCTCATTCCCAGTGAAATGTTGTCCCAGCTTATTGATGTTCATTGCCTAGATAGGTAGTTCATAGACATTCCAGCATCTATGGAGAGAAGCTGTTAGGTGTCCCGTCTTGGTGTATAATCTCTCTCTCTCTCTCTCTCTCTCTCTCTCTCTCTCTCTCTCTCTCTCTCTCTCTCTCTCTCTCTCTCTCTCTTCAGTACAGTCACATGGAGGACAGTAAATGCATGCACATGATGTACCGAAAAATCACAGTGCCTAAAGGAATTGTGGTTGAGGAAGGCTTCATTACTACTTGCTCTTTTGAGCGGGGACGGTAATGTATTTAGTTCCGGACCTTCTGGTCTGTAGTGTCTTTCAATTGTTTCAATTTGTCTGTCTATCTCATGTATACCTCCCTTACTTATCCTGCCATCCTCGACTGAAAACAGTTGCCTGGTTTTGTATGTGAACAGAACAGTCGCCGCTGTCTTTGTCTGTGGGTGCAATGGAAGCTTCAAGCAGGATAAAAAGGCGGAATGACAGACGGCCTCGGTTTGGCCATGAGAATGGAAGTAAGTTTCAAAAATTTCACAAATGCCCCTGCCACGAGCAGGTTCGATCCCCACCTGTTTTGGCACGCCTTTATCCTGGCGTCCAACCACTTCTGGGCCTTATCTTGAGCCTTGTGGGAGCACCAGCAGAGGCAGCTGATCCAGACCCTTCAGGGCCAGATGAACCTGGCCCTGGCCCTGACCCTGACCCTGACACGGCTGATGCAATGGATGCAAAGCTGCAATGCTGTGAATTGCAATCTGGCAAGCAGAACACTGGTCAGTGTCCGGTTTCTCGCCGGGAATTCGGGCATTCTCCTTCTGTCACAGACAGCGGTGATGTGCAAGCTACGAAAGCAGACTCATTCAGAGTTGCAACTGTCACACAGGAACCACGAATTGCAGCGGCCACAGACAGAGAACAGCGGCAGCAAAGATCACCCAGAGTTGCTGCGGTCCCAAACGGAGAACAACTGGACCAGAGATCACTCAGAATTACAGCGGCCACAGACAGAGAGCAGCTGGAGCAGAGGATTGGAGTGCTCACACGGGAAACAGAATTGCAGCGGTCAGTCAGAATTGCAGCGGCCACAGACAGAGAACAGCTGGAGCAGAGGTCACCCAGAGTTGCAGTGACCCCAAACAGAGAACAACCGCAGCAGAGATCACTCAGAATTACAGTGACCAGAGACAGAGAACAACTGGAGCGGAGGATTCCTGAAATGAACGCACGCCCAGCTGTTCGATACCTAGTGGCGAATGATGACCATGCGTTCTCCAAGGGGAAGATTGATGGACACGAGTTAAGAAGCCTAGACACTGATGGAGAGGGCTTGATGATGCGATTGGAAACTGAGAAATGCAGAAAGAAGAGGAAAAGACAAAGATGTGATGATGACAAAAGCCATGGGGGCATGGACAAGGTGGTGATGTTTCAGACAAAAAAAAATCGAGTAAATTCTGGTGAAGATCATGCCGCCATTGCCAAGAGGTTGGGGCTGTGTGCCGATCATCTGCGTTCTCCAAACGACTTTGAGCACAACGAGGAGGTCGGGAACTGCCAGGGCCAAGACTTCTGGGGACAGGAGGGGGCTGAGAGGAAGGAGAGGAAGGAGAGGAAGGAGAGGACTGAGAGGAAGAGGAAGGGCAAGAAACCTGTCTGCTATCTTGATGGAAGACAGTGTAATCCGACTGTCTGTGGTGATGAGAGTATGGATCAGCTTCTTGAAGTTCAAGGTCGAGATGCCGACCGCTGCTCAACAAAGTGGAATGTGAGAACAGAGTACTTTACTACCAAGCCCCCAACCAATGGCGTAGATGGCACTGGCACAAGTGATTCTTTTTGCAAGGGGTGTTGTGATGACTCTAGTTGTTTTCTCTCTGCTGCTCAGCAGCCTTTGACAGGGGTCGCCAGCTCAGCTCATGGAGGATCCAACTCTGAGAAGAAGGAGGAGCCTCCCTTCCGCAGCAAATCTGTGACTGCAGATGTTATTGCCATTGAGCGGCAAACGAATTGCTGCTGCGGCTGCTTCGTTGAGAAGCGGTCATTACCTGAACTAGCGGGCCTCACATTCCCTGGTCTTGTTAGGCCAGATGACCCCTTGTCTTATAGAGATGAGCTATTGAACTTAACGTACGCTGCATCATGTGAAGGATCTCCCAGATTCTCATTTGACAGCTCTGTGTTGACCAGACAACAGGAATGGTCGCTGGAAGAGGTAAACGCCCTGTGTGATCACTCCCTTTCTCCCTGTTTACTTGGCATACCTCATCCAACGTGTGCTGCACTCCCTCTCTCTCTTTTTACCTGCCAAGCGTCATCTTCTCTCTCTCCCCCCCGACACACACACAAAAAAAAACAGGTCCTTATGTTCCTGGCTCCATATCCATTCTGGGGAGCGTCAGTCCGGTTCCTTTTTTTTTTTTTTTTTTTTTTTTTGCGAAATTGGGTCGTCTTGGAATCTCTGCATAACATGTACTTGAACATTGTGCCACTGAATATGTGGAAGCTAGGCAATTTCAAAGGTCGCTCACGTGGGAGAATGCGAGGGGACGGCAATGAGGAAAGAAAATAGCAATGTTCTACTTCTAGACTTCTAGTATCGAACACATTTAAAATTTGATGATCGTTTGATGTCAACAACATCCACCATTGCTGAAGCAATTCTCCTGTAATGTGCACTGTCTCTTGGCCTTTCCAGCATCACCAGTAGCTTTTTGTGCCTTGCCTGCTTCCGCCGCAAGATCTTGCTAAATGCATGCAACACCAGCCATTCAACCTCCCTCTTAGCAGTGAAGCCTCTACACCCAGGACCTTCTGGCTTGCGCATAGCAGTCACTCTCGCCTGGATCAGGAATGCCATATACCTGGATGCACATCTTATCACTTTGAAGAAGAATGCAGGATTATTCTCAGTTCCAGCAGAGAGCCCCTTGACATGAGCATGGAACTTCATTGCACAGAGCAAAAAGGCCTGGTAGACATTGAGCCGTGCCGCCAATGGTGAATTGATGACCGTATCGTAAAAAATAGCATGACACTTGGGCCTCAGGTACTGCCTCAGCTTGATCGACAGATTGCATCCCGGATTCGCAGCCCGTGATGCTGTCAGCAAGTCGCTCAGATTCTTTCCCCAATATCTTGCGTAGTCGGCTTGAACCTCAAGCGTACGGCAGTTAATTAGAAGCCCGCCCCATTTCATGAAAGAAGATCCATCTGCACTGCAGAACTCTGTCCTTGGGACCCATTCACCATCAGCCCATAAATCAAAGTTAACAGCCGTCTTTCTCTTATTGGCCGMACCACCATAGCCATCCACCCCGGCATACATCATGTGTATATACTCGGAGGTCATCTGGTGTGACATAGAAATGTAGATTGAATCRTCAATAAGACRGATCATTAASGATTTGTTGAAGACATCATGGAAGCCATGATCACCCCCATTTGATGAGCGGAAGGTGGGCATCGTGGGATCCTCACTTRCRAAAAATCCAAGTCCAGGCTTTTTCGCAGTGATAGTTGCCACCTGAGCAATCTGTGATTGATGTTCACAACACCCCTGATTTCCATCAAACATGTGAGGTGCTTGAGGAGGAGAATTGCGGAGGGTGATGCAGCCGGAATGAGCACTTGACTCCCCAGCTTGTGAATGAAGAAGCCCGGAACTTAGTGAACTTATGGATCCTGGTGTCCTCATTCTTTGAGCTGGTTTCTGGGAAAGAGCAGGGAACAAAACATGGCGTTCCATGTGCTCGTAGAACAGACTGGAGAGGAACGATGAGAGAACAAGTCCTTGTGGTATGCCTTGTGTTTGGCAATAGAAGGATGATCCAACCTTCACTATACTCTCCTTCAGCACGATATCCAGCAGCTGCATAACACGGTCTCGACTGAGTCTTGTGTACAAGACCTGTGAAGGTGGCGCCTTGTTGCAGGTACATCGAAGACGAAGCTGGAGCTATGGCGCCAAAGGTAAGTCTCCCTGGCCTCCGCCAACCATCTCTCTCTCTCCAACGCTACTCTAGCTCCTTTTTTTTTTTTTTTTTTTAACAAAAAAAAAAAAAAAACAGAACCTCTTGGTTCTGGCTCCTACCATTCTGGGGAGCAACAGTCCGGTTCCTATTCCCCCGGCAAGACAAATTGGAGTACATAAAAACATACGCATGCTCCTCCCCATTATGGATGGTAGGCCCAAGTAGGTAGCATTGATTACTTCCGTGAGGAAGGATGTACCACCCCTCCCCCCTGCCTATACTATCCTTATCCTACTTCGTCTATCCTACAGTCATCTTGCCCTGCTAAGCCTTTTCCTCTTAGGCCGAATAAATCGACCTGCCATATGGCTCGTGAATACCAAGAAAAGCACTTAGCTGCTTCTCCCTATGCTACTCTGACCCCATATATTACCTATCCGGTCTCTTACACCCTACTTGTCCTCTCTCATCTTGATTCTTTCCCAACTGACTGCAATCCTTAAACTGTAAACCCTCCCTGTTTTTCCGCCGACTACCACCCTTAAACCCTAAACCCTCCCTGTACCCGGGCTGTTTTTCGCCGGCTACTACTACCCTTAAACCTTAAACCCTCCCTGTATCCGGACTGTTTTCCGCCGGCTAAAACCCATAAACCCTAAAGTCTCCTTGTTCCCTCACTGCATCAGTCCGGTTCCATTTTTGCCCTCTGCTTGCTTAGAATTACCCACCCTCCCCTTAGAATTACACTCTTCCGTCGTCTCGAATCTTCCCCAACTGACTGCAACCCTTGACCGTAAGCCCTCCCTGTTTTCCGCCATTTCCTACTCTTGAAACCTAAACCCTCCCTGTTCCGCACTGTTCTCCATCGACCACACTTCCTCACCCAAAATCTTCCCAATCCTGCGCAGATGCCTCTTATCCCCTCATCCCTTTCACTCCCCTCTCCATTTAAACACCAAATGTGCTCCTTGGACAGTTGCTACTGCTCCGTTACCTAGTACATTTTGCTTGAAGCGTTTCATGATTTCTTCCTCTTGCTCTGGCTGCTGACGTACTTGGTTCCTCGCTACTTTCCACTGGGCCTTGAGATGTGTTTCAGTGAGGGTAAGGAAAATGTCCCTAGCCTCTTGGCTATGCATTGTTGTACCCTCAATTGTGACTTGGCATCGACGCTTCCAAATAGTCCAGAGGGCGTCTTGTCGTACCATCTGGAACATATGTTCTGAAAAGGTTGCCATTGCTTGGGAACCCGTAAACCCAGCAGTAAAGAAATCTTTGAGACTGGGAAAGCAATCTCTATTACTTGGCCCCAGATACCCCTGGCCACTTCCCAGATTGCAGTTGCCTCCTCACATTCTAGTAGGCACTGCTGCATTGTTTATGACATTCCTTCCTGACATACCTTGCATAACTCTTTGTCCCCACTTCTCTGCGTCCGGCTTCTTCGTTGATTAAGCCAGATGTTCACTGGGAGTGCCACGTGAGCTATTAGCCATTGCATGCTCCTGACCAGGCCCAGCCGTATCGCCCCTATGTTTGCCTAAGGAATGTATCTCAGTTGTCCTCTGGCGACCCCTACCCTCTTTTTCCATCTCTTGAGCAGCGTCGGTGTCACGGAGTAAGATCGGCTCCTCAATCTATACCCTATTCTTGTGGTGTAGTGTAAGATATTTACTCTCCTTGATGTTCCTGCTTGACCACTTCTGATGTTCCACGCCCATTCCGCTGGATCCACTTACAGTTTCTCAATTGGCACTGCCAGATTGTATACCATAAATATCTCTGTCTCCACCACCCTAACTTCCCGCGAATACTGTTTCAGGATGAATATTGGTGCTTTAGTCGCACTACGTCAGTCCGGTTCCTATTCCCCCAACAAGTCAAAATTGAATACATCATAGGACACACTCACGCTTGCTTCCGTATGGCCGAAGGAATCCTGACCAGCATTGATTACTCCTGATAGGATGATTGACTGCCAGCTTGCCTTTCCCTGAGATCCCTCTCAGATTCCTCTTTGAGAATCTGTCAGCTAAAGCTTTGAAAAACAAGGATAACCAAGAACGACAAATAGGTTGCACTTGAGTAGCTCTGAGGGTTTTTGATCGTCCTTATGTGGCCTGTTGATCCTGTAGGCCACCCGTTGAGTACAGTCTTGAACTTCTCCAGCTCGCCTCCGAGTTATGCCAATCTTTCCAGCGTATGTCGAAGTCTGTTATCTCTGTGATTTTCCCTCCCACCAGCCAAACTTTGACGAACTTGGAGAGGATCCTCTGTTGCCGGTCTTCATCATCAGGCACAGAGTGCCCTGTTCTGTGCCATCTGCATAGGATCTCTGCCTGGATCAAGGTCCTTGTCTCCGCCCATGCCTTTTCGCTTGGCGATGATAGTCCTTCGATAGTCCTGCCACATCTTTCCTTCCAAATCGACCAGAATGTTACCTTCCTGATCATGCCAAATTATGTTCTTTCCGTATTTTTTATTATTATTATTTATAAGTAAATAGTTTGGACCATTTCTCGATTTATGCATGTCATCCTTGCGCAGGGGCCATGCTAATCTTCTCTGTGCAAGGAACATGAGTATGGACGAAGCACAGAAATCCAGAATGCAAAATCACACTGAAGTCCAAGTATTCAAAGCCAAAGCAGATAGCACATGGAACCAAGTAACCATCCCATTGACAATGATACAGAAGAATCGTGAGTCAATGTCCATGCCTGACAGGGCAACACCAACAGCATAACCCAAATGTAGCTCTCTCTTGTGAATGGCGCCAGGCGCCCTATCTACTCTACAGCCTATCCTACAACTACAGCAATGAACAGCAACCAGACAACTTGACTACCAGC